AAGTTTAGTTGGAAGAAGACGAAGGCATTTCGATTACCGGAATAATAATTTTATTCTTCTGAGCTTTCAGAGTTGGCGGGAGTCCATCTTAAGAGATGAAACGTCAACCAAAAAACGAGCAACAGTTATAGGGGGCGGGAGCCAATCAATCCTTTTAGGGGAATGGGGAAGGTCGAGGAAGGAGGAGAGGGAACCCATTAGTAACCACTATCGGCCGTGCGGATATACTTGCGTAGGCGATGTCTGCGGGCACCAGCTCAATACAGTTAGGAGCCTAGCCTAACCGAATGCCAACATTACTTCGCAGGAAATTCTGACGCATCGCGCCTGCGGCCGACTGCGAACACGGATTCTTTTGTTAACAGCGGACTGCCTCGACGTCACATGCCTTCGCAGTGACTGTGCCCACGCAAGGAACTTAAACAACTGGATCGGACACAGGCACGCGAACTCACGCGCATGCCCAACTGGTCTCAGTTCCTCAAGGGCCACTTAGGTGCCTCACAGGAAATATGACCTTATTCCAAAGCGCCCAATCATGCCACAAGTGAGTGCGCTTGATAAGCATTTATAAGCAACTGTCACATATCAGACACTGAGTTGCAACACGGACTGACAAGGACACCGCCAGGCGCCCCAGGCCCGGGCTTCGCCCTCAGGCAGGATATACAGCGCGCTGACTTTATGCCAGCGGCAACTGCTTACCGAGAAAGCAACTCCGGTTTTTGTACACAATAAACTCTTCTCCGGGTAACTTCCACTTTCATGTCCTTCTTGTTGTGTAACTCCTTGGGGATTCCAACGGGCGTAATTAGACGATGACAAGGACGCAGCCACCGTTACATCAATTACTTCGGTTGGCTGAGTTGTCATAGGAGGCCCAGCCTTCAATTGATTCTCGTCCAGTCTTGCTGCCGGAGTAGGCAATTAGTCGCATGACTGCGAAGTTAAATGAATGGCCCATCTCATAACTTTGGACAACCACTTGCGACAATGCGTCGCCCCGTCTGACAGTCAACTGACGTTCGTGTATGCGCGAACCAAGCAGGTTTCCCGTCGGTCCGGTGTACTTTTAGGACAGTTTAGACAAGGTTTGCGATAGACTACGCCAGACTGCTCACTGGGATCTAAACGGTCCTTTATTCTCATGATTCAGCTGCGCATGTTAGCCTTGGGGCGGTGGGCGATTCCGACGCCTAGTTCCGCAGCAATGCGCTCGGTATGCGAGGCCCGATATCTCCGCGACCAGTTTATGCGGAATGGTTATCCAAAAGAATTTATGAACCGATTCCTACGCGTTCGGCCCTGGAGGACCCAAACGGAAGAACCGCCGAGGATATGGCACGCTCTGCCATACATCAAGGATATCTCAGAAGCGGCTGAGCGCATCGCTGTGGGACTTGGTGTTGGAATTGCACACAGACCCAAAGCTACCATGCGCAGCAGGGTAATGAAAATAAATGACCGGCTTACGCCGAATGAACAATATGGGGTAGGGTATCGCATCCCATGCCTAAGCTGTCCTTGTAACTTGACAGGTCAAACTGAACGCATGGTCGGATCGCACATACATGAACACAAGTTGGCTGTACGACGAGGCGACGAATTATCACAAGTTGCAGCTCACAACTATGAAACAGGCCATGAGTTGAACTTCGCGGCCGTCAGGGTACTCCCCCACGCCGGAAACAAGACGAGCAGAGAATTAATTGAAGCCTGGTCCACGGACAGGTATTCAGTCAACTGATGTGTCGAATTGGCGCCGGCGTGCAGAGCCTTGCGCAGTTACGTGCAGTCACTGTCAGACGTCTGTCATAACTAACTGGGCCCACATCGTCTATAATTGCCCCATTTCGTTACTGACGCCTTGATGAACATTGAAATCACCGACGAT